GGCGCGACGCTCGACGGCCAGGGCGCCAAGTACTGGGACGGCAAGGGCGGCAACGGCGGCGTCGACAAGCCCAAGTTCTTCAAGTCGTCCAAGCTCGCCGACTCGACCATCAAGGGCTTCAAGCTCCTCAACACGCCCGTCCACGCCTTCTCGATCAACACGGTCACCAACTCCAAGTATCTCGACATTACGATCGACAACAAGCTCGGCGACACCAAGGGCGGCCACAACACGGACGCTTTTGACGTCGGCAGCTCGACAGGTATCTTGATCTCGGGCGCGATCGTCTACAACCAGGACGACTGTCTCGCCGTCAACTCGGGTACTGGCATCACCTTTACCAACGGCTTTTGCAGCGGCGGCCACGGTCTCTCGATCGGGTCGGTTGGCGGTCGCTCCAACAACATCGTCAAGGACGTGACCATCTCCAACTCCAAGATCGTCAACAGCGACAACGGTGTGCGCATTAAGACGGTCTCGGGCGCCAAGGGGTCGGTCTCGGGCATCACGTACTCCAACATCCAGCTCGAAAACATCGGCAAGTACGGCATCGTCATCGAGCAGGACTACCTCAACGGCGGCCCGACGGGCAAGCCCACCAACGGCGTCCCGATCACCAACGTCACGCTCAACAAGATCACGGGCTCCGTCTCTGCCAAGGCCACCAACACGTACATTTTGTGTGCGCAGGGCGCGTGCAGCAACTGGAAGTGGACCGGCGTCGCGGTCACCGGCGGCAAGGCCTCGACCAAGTGCTCGCACATCCCGGCCGGCTCCAACGCCAAGTGCTAAGTCGATATTGTGTCTGGTTTTCCGTCTGCATCCAGTTGGGCGTCCACGCTGAGCTTTCTCGAGTAATGCATTTCCATGCACATTGAAAATGACTTCGGTTGAGTTTGTTCGTTTGATGGGTTTAGTGGGGTGGCATGGCTATCGTCGATGCTTTGCAAGAACGTGTGCTGGACGAGTGATTGGGAGCAAGCTTGCGCTATTGTTGTTTAGCCTCTTGGCTTGGGCGGTGGAGAATGGATGGTTACGAGAGTTTGCAATTGAAACGGCTAGGGGTGGAATGATGTGTGCATACAAGAACCGCCGACGGTTTCGAGCGTGCTAGTATGAGTATCCCATTTTATGTAATCGTTTATTTGGTCTCGAGTATCGTTATCGTAGTGGCATAACTTTACTCGTCTGTGTACTTGGTCGAGACTGGTCAAGGCTTCAATTCATCGAAATTAGAAGTTGTAAAATGTACTAGTACATGAATTGGATTTCAATCAATGCGTTACAGCGACATAAAAGACCGCTCGAGCTTACTCGCAGTAATGCGGCGTCGACGTTGGCGTCGGTCGGCTTGTCGGCGTCGTCGGGCCGGGCGTGGGCTGCGACGAAGGCATCGGAGTGGTCGGGCCAGGCGTCGGCTTGGACGACGGGGTC